GACTGAGTGACAACACAGAGGTCAATGCCATCGAAAGAAAGGTTAAATGATACAGTTCCCCTAGAAACAAGAGGCATGAATCAACACACAAGGACATGGGAAGAACACCAGGTTTTGATAAGAAGAAAAAGCAGGAGCAAGCAATATATGTAGGCAAGAGTGATGGGATTTCTGTGGGAAAGGTAAAACAGGGCAGGGTGAACAGTTTAGGATTGGCTATTTTGAATAATTTCTTTGGATTTGGGGCCATAGGAGTGTTTCCTATTTGCCTGGCATCTGGCCCTGGAATGATTAAGGCAGAGGATATTGTCTCTTGGGATGTATTGGCCAAAGAGAGAAGGTATGGCTCTGGATTGGTTAGCTTGCACATCAAAGACACGCTTGGGCTACCCCTGGAAAGGGCATTCTCTCTCCTTCTAGGAAGATGTTTTTAAGATGTCAAAACATCATAATATACAGAAAAATTTACATGAGTAATACAGCCTGGGATAAGAAAAAGGTACATAAGATTCCTGGGTTCTTTGAATACAATGCCTCAGGTCTAACCTCTGGATAGCATTCTTCCTTCTCTTTAGCTACAGAAAATAACTTTGAAAATGAACCTGATTTGTTTTGAGTGGAGGGGTGATGAAATCCAATAAAGACGTCAGAAGGGTTTAGAGAAGTAGAATCTATTAAGGGACTCCAAAGTTCTTAGCCAGACTTTATGGTGGGATGCTGAGCTAGGTTTATAACATAATCACATGTGTAGTAGAGGTTGAGCTGGTTTTTCCAAAGGAGTGGTTCCCTATCTAATGCACTTCTTTGAACTTAGAATTTGAGACTGTAAAGCTTTTCATTTGTTCAACATGTCATATTTTCCATATATGGTCCCAAATTTGGGAAGTAGGTCCAGCAGGCATTGTTATTCTGATTTTAAAACAGAGCCTCAGACAATTTGTCCAAGGCCCCATGGTTAGTTAATGGAAGAGTCCTTGACAGTATATTGGTCTGATGCTTAGCCCACCATTCCTAAATAGTAATTATATTTCAGGAAGGACATTTAAAAATTGTTTTGTCAATAAGCACTTATTGAGGAACCACTAATAACTAAGTACTCAATACTGTAGGATAGCCTGTGGGAGTGTGATATTTGTGACTCTTTAATATGTTCAATGTTGTCACACAGCTGGTTTGTTCCTTCTTGGAAGTATCAGTAAAATGTGAAGTTATACACACGCCACACTCCAGGCACATAGATTGTTACTGCATCCTGCTTCACCATACTATATATGTAGACCTGGGCTCGTTATTTAACCTTTGAGCCTAAGTTTTTTCATCCATTAAAGCATAATAATAATAATAATACCTATTTAATAGGCTTGTTGATAAGACTAAATAAAATATGTACATGTAACTGTTATTAACCATGGTGACAGTTCACACATAAATATCAAAAATGGATTACCCAGTAGCTGAGTAAAGATTTCTGTAGTCCTGGCCGGGCATCTCAGTTGGTTAGATCATCAATCCAATATACACCAAGGTTTCAGGTTTGATTCCTGGTCAGGGCATACACAAGAATCAACCAATGAATGCATAAATAAGTGGAACAAGTCATTGTTTTTTTCTCTCTCTCTCTCCCTCTTTCTTTCTCTCCCTCCCTCCCTCCCCCCACCCCTAAATCAACTTAAAAATTGTTTAAAGATTTTCGTATTCAATGCGAATTAAAAAGACTACTCATATTAAATGTTTTCTAATTATTATTAAATTTACAATTTGTAAGGAAAAATACCATTAGAGTTAAGTAAGATAAAATCCTAGGTAAAATCACTAGCTCACCAAATTCGGGTATTTTCTATTACAACATGACAGAACCATGACTTTCAAAATAAAGAACACTATTGGATTAGCTAGAGATCATATGGGCATAACCCATAGACACAGACAACAGTATGGTGATGATCAAAAGGAAGGGGGTATGGAGGCTGGATGGAGATGGGCAAAGGGGGTGGGGGAATGGGTACATATGTAATAGTGTCAATAATTTAAAAATAAAATTAAAAAGAAAGAAAGAAAGAAAATAAAACTTTTTAATCAGCTTATCTAAGGCACTTCTCTTACTGGACATGGGTGCCTGATTCTCTTGCCTCCAGCGTTAGCTTTTAGCTCAAGTCATTCAATTTAACCTGCCTCTATAGTCCCCTCAGAGATGATTTGCTCTGAAACTAATGAAGCCTAAGGTTCAGGCCCTTGACTTTCGAGGCCACTGGGAGCACCCAGAGCAGCTGGGCATTTGGAGTAGTGAGTTTGAAGCAGACAGAAAACATTTCTGTGTAGTATTTCTGGTAAATTGCCTAAAAGAGTTCACAGAAGGAAGAGACCTAAATCTTCCAGGTTTTAATAATTTGTTATTTCTTTTTGCATTCTAAATACTTTCTAACCTAATTTTGTGTTCATAATGTTCTATTGTTTTTCATTAATCACCCCACCCCACAAATACTAGTATCTGCTGTGCCTACTATGTGTTAGACCCTGAATTAATAGTAAAAAAAAAAAAAAAAAAAGATGAAGAAGCTCAAAGTTTCATGGGAAGAAGAGTGCAGAATTAGGTATGAAATAATGCTAGCCAAGTGGTAGAAACAGTGGAATGGGGGTACACAGAACAAAGCATTTACCAATACTAATTTGTCACAGTGTCCTTATCTTCTGGATGATGTCAGACTGGCAACCTCTGAGAGAGCTGAAAAAATTCCAAACCAATGTGAGGTAGCCTCAGGCCTGGTGTTTCTTAAGCTACTGCCTTTCAAACTTTTTTTTACGGTAATCTGCAGTGTAGCAGACAGTTGTGTTCATCAAATTTACTACATTCTTCCCTACATTTCTCAGCCTCTCTCGCAGTTAAATGAAAAGAATGTGTCTATTTTGGTCAATGGGAAGAGAGGAAGTGATGGCAGTGTTTCTGGTTCAAGTCTGTTACTGGTTCAAGTCTGGTTCAAGCCTGTGAAAGTCCTGTGCACTGTTTCTAGAAAGATTTTAAGCCTGGAGGCAAAGAGCCAAGATGGGGTAGGTGGAAGACAGAAACATAAGTAGATCCTTGAAGATCTGGAGGACAACTATCAAGGAGAGCAATCTAATCCACATCAGACTTTGTGGGACTTTATGGGAGTAACATGTGATATAAAGTACTTTTATGTTAAGTTACTAAAATTAATTTTACATCTTTCTTTTTTTAAATGGAAATTTTATTTTTCAATTACAGTTTACATTCAATATTATTTTGTATTAGTTTCAGGTGTACGGCATAATGGTTAGACAATCATATACTTTATAAAGTATTCCTCCTGATATTTCCAGTACCCACCTGGTATCATACATAGTTATTACAATATTATTGACTATATCCCCTATGCTGTACTTTACATCCCAGTGACTATTTTGTAACTACCAATCTGTACTTCTCAATCCCTTCACTTTTTTACCCCCCACCTCACAACCAATTGTTTCTATTTTGTTTGTTCCTTTATTTTGTTCTCTAGATTCTATGTATAAGTGAAATCATATGGCATTTCACATCTTGATATAGTACATACATTCACATGTACCTGAACCAAAAAATTTAAATAATATCCTTGCTATTTCCAACATTCCTGATTTTTAAAAATTTCATTCAGGAAAATGTTATTATATTCAATTTCACCACACCCTAATTGGTCTCCACCCCTAGTGTTAAAAATACTTCCTTAAACTACCTCAGAACACTGGTCCTCTATGAACAACTTTCAACTGTGTCCAACTTTTACAAAAAACAACTAGAAATAAGTTTTACAATAATTGCAATGTCACAATGATAATGGAAACGAGAAGTACAGATGATTTCATCTTGTAAAATTAAACTATTGCTTTTTTTTTGCTGTTTCTATTTAGTACCCGTAGGTGTATATATACTCATACATATATACTGTTCTGCAAAACTAGTGGTTCTCTGGCATTAACAGAAAACACTGTTGCCCAGCCAGTGTGTCTCAGTGGACTGAGCAAGTCTCATGGACTGAGAGGTCCTGGTTCTATTCTTGGTCAGGGCACATACCCGCGTTGCGGGCTTGATCCCCAGTAGGGGGCGTGCAAGGGATAGCCCATCAATGTTTCTCCCATTGATGTTTCTGTCTCTCTCTCCATTCTTCTCTAAAAAAAATCAATAAAACATATTTTTAAAAATTAAAAGACGAGCCTGGCTGGTGTGGCTCAGTGGTTGAGTATCAACCCATGCACCAAGAGATCATCGGTTGGATTCCCAGTCAGGGCACATGCCCAGGTTGTGGGCCTGATCCCTAGTGGGGGGCATGCAGGAGGCGGCCAATCCATGTTCTCTTTCATCGATGTCTCTCTCTCTCTCTCTCCATCTCTCTTCACCTCTCTCTAAAATCAATAAAGAAAAAAAATTTTTTTAATTAAAAAAGACAGTTTTCTCCTCTGTCCCCCCCTCCCCTCTCCGATCCTCTCCTCAAAAATAAAAATAAGAAAAATAAAAGAAGACACTATTGCCCTAAATGTTGCACTTCACTCCAAAGGTACTCCAATAAGAGCTATTCCGCTTGGTGCCCTTAGGTTCTGACAGGTCCTTGAGCCCAAATAATCTCTATTTCTCTTCCCAACTGCAGGATAATGAAGTGAAGTCAGAACACCTTATATACAATGCCACCGTGCTGCTTTGGGGGCCTGTAAAATGTACGATGCGATAACAAAACCCGAAGAGCGTTGCTTCCGCACTAAGCTAAGAGTCACAGCCCGCAGAGGACCAACTGGCACCGGCTCTAGACCTGAACTGGCCCGTAGCTCTCGCGAGAGCCTCCCGACCGCGAGCCTTCGTGAGCACCAGTTCCCATCCACTATCTCACGCGTCTACAGGCTGTCTCCTCCCAGCCGACTTCCTCCCCTACGGTGGGGCCGGCCGGAACTTTTATCCATAGGAACGGGTTTACACAGTAGAGTGTTGCCCGCCGGCGTCAAAAAGAATAGTGTGCCATCCTCTTCCTCTTACCGTCGCCGCTGCCGCTGCGGAGCGGAGCCGAGCAGATCCGATCGAGGAGCGCGGTTACCGGGCGGGCTGGGTCTATGGTCGCTCCGCGAGCCGCTCCGCCGGCTGGTGCTTTTTTATCAGGGCAGGCTGTGTTCCATGGCAGGGAACTTTTGGCAGAGCTCCCATTAGTAAGTGATCTTCCGTTTTCTCGTCGGGGCTGGCTCTTGGGGAGTGGTGAGGACCGGGCCTGCGACTCCCCTTGGCCTGGATCCCAGCCCCTGTCCCGAACTCCGCAGTCTCCCGGGAGGGGGTGGCGGCCGGAAGCGGGATGCGTTTTTTCCCTGGCAACTCCCTTCTCCCCGCCGTTTGGGTGGGTTTCGGGGAGTGGGGGGAGATCTGTGAGCGGAAAGGTGGGGAAAGGGGTTTCAGTCTCCCAGGCAGGAAGGTTCCAGAGTTTAATTTAGGATTCTTGGATTAGCTGGCCGTGGAAGCGGGTGGGGTGGAGTGGGATGAAATGGCATAATTATGGGAAGTGTGATACAGTTCAGACCTTGTCGCTGGTGTTTCAGGACAGTTGGGGTTCACTTTTTGCCTGGGATTTCGTCAGTGTGTCGGTATCGTAGTCTTTTGTCACTCATCTCCTGTGTTGAGTGAATTTAATATTCCGAGGAGGGAGGGAGTTAGGCTTGTTTCTTCTCACTAACCGCTTCCTGCCTCTGCTTTATGTCTACATGAGTTTTTGTTTGTTTTTAATGTTGGTAAGGTATAGGGTAGGTGCCCTCACAATTTATCTATGTCATTAATCTATGCCTTATATATTAAGAGTGTATTTATCAGTGACGTTGACGATTTCTTAAACCTCTTTCATGAATACATTTTTGTTTCTGTCAGTGACCATGGAAGAGCTAGATAATTTTAAAAACATTTCCCCCCTAAATACATTTGTTTAAGCAGTCAGGAAGGTGGGTGATGGGACTAATTGAACTGTGACTAGACTGTACAACTGAAAGATGAGTACAACCTGGTAAAAATTATATCTTAGTGTGAATAATTTTTAATGCCAAAAAAGCATTACTAATTGTAATTTAAGTTTTGATTCTGTGAAAAAGATGGATTCCAGTGTTCATTCTTTTTTTAGCCCTTTGCAGGAAAAAAGGAACAATGGGCTCGGAGACCTATTTTCAGAAAAATAGGTTTTCCTCTTGCTGTAGAGTGATTCTGTGGAGATGAAATACTTTAGAAGGCCCTACTTCTTATATTTTTATTTTCCACTGTTACACTCACTGAACTGTTTGCTTGGGCAAAATTAAAATACAGAAAATTTAGGTAGTGGAGAAGAGGCATTCTGCGAAAGTTTGAAAGTAGGTGACAGAATTGACAGGTAGCTAGCTAGCTGTTTGTCAGAATTTATATACGTTTTTCAATTAAAAAAAAAAAAAAAAAAGGCCTGGACGGTTTGGCTAGTTGGTTAGAGCGTTGACCCTTGAACCGAAGGGTCCAGGTTCAATTCCTGGTCAAGGGAACCGACCTGGGTTGCAGGTTCAATCTCCAGCCCCAGATGGGGTTATTCCCAAGGCAACCAATCCATGTATCTCTCTCACATCGATGTTTCTCTCTCTCCCTTCCTGTCTCTCTAAAAAATCAATAAAAACATATTTAAAAAAGAAAAAAAGGGTCATGCCTGCCTTTTGATAAGCTAAGCATTATGCCATAATGAAAATGCCTATCACTGGGGGCAGGATATGTTTTGTAAAAACAATTGGACACTAGATAATGGCTGGTAAACTGAATGAATTAGTGAACAGGTGACAAAAATTAAAAGTATAAAACCAACTCTGTATACCTGATTGTACCAAAGAGGAAACTGAAAATACAGTAATATAATATCAAGGAAATAATATAATAAGATTAATATATCCATATATTGCACCCAAATTTATAAGAAAATTAATATCCTGAATAATTGAAAAAGAACAGAAGTAAAATATTCTGTGTAAGAATATTTAAAAGGAAATGCACTTAAGCAAAAAAGAAAGAATAAAAGTAAAACATATTAATAAAAGGAAAAGAAATGGTCAGAAATTAGAAGAGCTGGTTCAGTAGACTGAACTAGTTGAATTAAGGTAAAAAAAGATAATACAGTAATACAAAATTAGGAATAAGAAAAGTAAATAAACTCAGATGTACATTTGGTTTCTCTCCATGGTAGAAAATTTGAAAACTAAATCAAATTAAGAAAGTTATCAAAGACCTAGTCCTTTAAAAATGCTCCAGGTCCACATTATTTCATGGGTAAGTTTTTTTTCTCACTTTCAAGAGGATCTGCTTTTGAAATTATTCTTGTTCACTCAGAAAGAAAGAAAGCTTTTCAGTTTTCATTAGGAAGCTGCAATAACACTGGTAAAGTCCAGCAAAGGTAGCAGTAAAATCAGTCTCACTTTTTTTTTTTTTTTACTTTATTTATTTATTTACTTTAATTTTATTTTTGTTACAGGTGTTTCACCTTTTTTACCCAATTGACACCCTCCTCCACATCCCCCCAGCCCTGTCCCCGGCTTTGTTGTCCATGTCCATTGGTTATGTATACATGCATATAAGTTCTGTGGTTTATCTCTTCCCATCCCCCGCAACCCCCTCTTCTGAGGGTTGTCAGTCTGTACCCTACTTCCGTGTTTCTGGGTCTACCCTATTCCTCCGACTGTTACATTCATTATATTCCATATATAAGTGAGATCATGTGGTATTTGTCTTTTTCTGCTTGGCTAGTTTCACTTAGGATAATACTTTCCAGATCCTTCCATGTTGTCTCAAAGGATAAGAGATCTTTCTTTCTTACAGCTGCATAATACTCCATTGTGTGTATGTACCATAGCTTTTTTATCTATTCTACTACCGATGGACATTTGGGCTGTTTCCAGATGTTAGCTATTGTAAATAGTGCTGCTATGAACATGGGGGTACATGTATTCTTTGTGATTGGTGTTTCAGGCTTAGGGTATATTCCTAGAAACGGGATCACTGGGTCAAATGGAAGTTCAATTTTTAATTTTTTGAGGTAACCCCATATTGTTTTCCATAGTGGCTGCACCAGTCTGCATTCCCACCAGCAGTGCACTAGAGTCCCCTTTTCTCCACACCCTCGCCAACACTTGTTTGATGATTTGTTGATGGCGGCCATTCTTACAGGTGTGAGGTGATACCTCATTGTTGTTTAATTTGCATCTCTCTGATGATTAGTGATGTTGAGCATTTCTTCATATGTCTCTTGGCTATTTGTATGTCCTGTTTGGAGAGGTGTCTATTCAGCTTCTCTGCCCATTTTTTAATTGGGTTTTTTGTCTTCCTTTTGTTGAGTTGTATGAGTACTCTGTATATTTTGGAAATTAACCCCTTATCTGATATATCATTGACAATGATGTTCTCCCATACAGTGGGTTGTCTTTCCATTTTGATGGTTGTTTCTTTTGCTGTGCAGAAGCTTTTGAGTTTGATGTAGTCCCATGTGTTCATTTTCTCCTTTGTTTCTGTTGCCTTAGGTGATGTATCAGTGAAGATTCTGTTGTGTATGATGTCCAAAATTTTGTTGCCTACATTTTCTTCTAGAATTTTTATGGATTCACGGGTCACATTTAAGTCTTTTATCCATTTTGAGTTTATTTTTGTGTATGGTGTAAGTTGATGGTCTAGTTTCATTTTTTTGCATGTAGCTGTCCAATTTTCCCAACACCATTTATTAAAGAGGCTGTCTTTACTCCACTGTATGCTCTTGCCACCTTTGTCAAATATTAATTGAGCATATTGCCTTGAGTCCATTTCTGGGTTCTCTATTCTGTTCCACTGGTCTATATGCCTGTTCTTGTGCCAGTACCAGGCTGTTTTGATTACCGTTGCTTTGTAATATAATCTGATATCTGGTATTGTGATCCCACCTACTTTGTTCTTCTTTTTGAAAATTGCTGTGGCTATTCGGGGACTTTTTTGGTTCCATATGAACTTTTGAAATATTTGTTCTAGTTCTGTGAAATATGTCGTTGGTATTTTGATGGGGATTGCATTGAATCTATAGATTGCTTTGGGTTATATGGACATTTAATGATGTTAATTCTTCCAATCCATGAACAAGGTATGTGCTTCCACTTTTTTATATCTTCCTCTATTTCTTTTTTCAATGTCCTGTAGTTTTCTGCAAATAGGTCCTTTATTTCTTTGGTTAAGTTTATTGCTAGGTATCTTAATTTTTTTGCTGCCATGGTAAATGGGATTGTTTTTTTAGTTTCTCTTTCTGTGAGTTCCTCATTGATGTATAAAAATGCTGTCGGTTTCTTGACGTTAATTTTGTATCCTGCTACTTTGCCAAGTTCATTTATTAAGTCTAGTAGATTTTGAATAGACTCTTTAGGGTTTTCTATGTATAATATCATGTCATCTGCAAATAATGACAGTTTCACGTCCTCCTTTTCAAATTGGATCCCTTTTATTTTTTCTTTATGTCTGATTGCTGTGGCTAAGGCTTCCAGTACAATGTTAAATAAGAGTGGCGAAAGTGGACATCCCTGTCTTGTTCCTGTTCTTAAGGGAAATGTTTTTAGTTTCTGCCCATTGAGTATGATGTTGGCTGTAGGTCTTTCATATATGGACTTTATTATGTCAAGATATGATCCCTATATTCCCACATTGCTGAGTGTTTTTATCAGAAATGGATGCTGGATTTTGTCGAATGCTTTTTCAGCATCTATTGATATGATCATGTGGTTTTTATTCTTCATTTTGTTTATGTGGTGTATCACATTTATTCATTTGCGAATATTGTACCAGCTTTGCATCCCTGGAATGAATCCCACTTGGTCATGGTGAATCATTTTTGTGATGTATTGCTGGATTCAATTTGCTAGTATTTTGTTCAGGATTTTGGCATGTATGTTCATCAGGGATATTGGCCTGTAGTTTTCTTTCTTTGTAATGTCTTTATCTGGTTTTTGAATTAGAATTATGCTAGCCTCATAAAACGAGATTGGAAGTCTTCTTTCTTATTGAATTTTTTGAAATAGTTTGAGAATGGGTGTTACTTCTTTTTGGAATGTTTGGTAAAACTCCCCCGTGAAGCCATCCGGACCTGGGCTTTTGTTTGCTGGGAGAGTCTTGACTACTTCTTCAATTTCCTTAGTTGTTACTGGTCTGTTCAAGTTTT